GGAGCCGCGCCAGCCGCCGCCCCCGCCGAGTCCCCGCGGACCCACAGATCGTCAAGGCGCCCTAATTTGCGCGACGGTTCCCGCCGCCCGGCCGCCGCCCCTCCGCCAACTTCTGATGTATTCAGGGGCGCCCAGAGCCTGCCGCCTTTCTCGCGCACCGGAACACACACGAACCGCCCCCTCGCAGCATCACCAGCGTCATTGTACTCCGAACCTGACTATCAACGCAACGATTTCTGTTCACATTGAAACCGTTTTCTCCCAAGATTGTTTTGCTTCTTTGACTGTTGCACGTTGGGTTTCTTCACTAATATTCCCCCTCTCACGAATTAAGACATTGAAGAAGGTCAATATAATCGGGCCATAAATACCTAGTGTGTTTTAAAATGTCGCATTTTATACAATTTTATTTAATATCTTTTTTTGCACAGGAATAACGACGTCCAATATTGCTAACCGATTGGAGTTGTCTATGCACAAAAGCATTGTTAAAAGTAATTTTTGAACACAAAGAGCTTAGAAAGAAATTGGAACGTTTCTTCTAATTTTGATATTTTTGCTTCAAATGAAAGATAGCAGGACTCGGCTGCGCTTTCACTTGCTATTATTTGCAGGTTTCATGGTATAAACACTACTTTTCAATCAAATTGAAATGTCTAGAATGAACTTATCTGCCGTGATTTATTCATTACGCACGCTGTTCTTGAGGCTCTTGACACAACCAAGCGCTTTTCAAATCGGCTGTCGAACTGTGTTTCAGGGAATATTGACCGTATTGTAGCAGAATCAGTAAACCTCCTATTAATACTGTACGACGCAAAAATATTTTTTGGGAGTTTCAATTTTTCGTAAATGAACATTATGTGTCAAGTGCATTTCAAAAACGAAAACCATTACGATTGTAAACGTCTGCTGTGAAGAAAAATTCGAATCCCACAAACTTTATTGACATCAACAATTGGCAAGACCGCTTTTCAGGCAGGAATATAAAGACAAAACTGTCTGAACATGCACAGCAGACGCCGAGAAGCGCCCCAACCGAGCGAGTATTTAACAGAGCTACTGCTGCACATCGACTTTAGACGCAGAGTTCTTTCCCCAGGAGCCAGCTCTGCACGCAGCTGGCTGGACCACCCGGCGGAACGCAGGCAGACGGCAGCCGCCCGCGATAACACAACATGTAAATGGAAGGCAGCAGCCGCGCGCGCGGGCTTTGTACGGCGTGACGGCGGGGCGGGGCGGGGCGGGGCTTCAACTGCACCGCCCCTCGGCCGCTCAGCGCCCTGCGCAACGTGACATCCTCATCCCTCAACGCAGCCACAGCGCAGCCCTTAGGTTCAAGCCAACAAGACACGATCACATCCAAGCATCATGCAATTTTAACAGAAGTACATTTTAATGAGCTCACTTTTCCAGGCCCAATCCAAGCAATGCGACTTTTTTCAAATTCTCCGCTCACAACCACAGCTTTCAACGCTGCGGTCGCTGCCCACCCATGTCATACTTTATTGATGACGTATTTAGCTACTCAAATGAGCTTCAGCAATTGCGCTACTTATTAACAACAAAAATATTTTAAACTTAGGGCAAAGATGTTGCGTAAAACAGAAGTCGACATCGTTTAGAAACTTTCGAATCTCCGAAATCATAAGTACATAAATCTTCATGCCATAAGAATGCCTTCGGCGATTTTTAACTGGCTTTACTTGTGATTACACCGTTATATTCGTGACTTTACTGCGGCTGTACTAGATGCGATTGCTCCGTTGTATCTGTCTCTTTTCCAACATTTTCCCTTTACTTGCCACTAGTTCAGGCTGAAAAACTCTGCAAACGTCTCACGTAGGAGAAATAATCCATCGAACTTCCATGACAAATTAAAGCAATACACACACACACGGACTTACGTTTATATATTCGCAGTTTTCTAATTCAGGCTGGAAATTTGAAATGAACGAAGTGTTGCTTCTATTGGCTGGCAAATGAACTAACTACCGTGTCCACCATAGAAGGCGATATCCACCATCTACCACGCACGATTAATAATTTCACGACTGGGAAAACAAAATCCTGGAGATTCGAAGCAACTGGTATGAATGATGCAAATAAAAAAAATAATAAAGACTAAAAATAGCATGTTGGTGCACTCTTACGTGCATAAAACCTTCACCGCCTCTAAAAGGATATTAACGAAAGTTAACTATGGAATTAGAATTACACAGCACTTTATCGAGGAAATTGAATTTGGGAAACAACTGAACACGAACAGGACACTTAACTCGAAAAAGGGTCATTTTCCCTGCACACACACGCAAGCTAGTGTACGAAATAAATTGTTACATTTACGAGATTTCACAGTAACATACAGAGCGAACAAGCCTGCCAATGACTGCATTCGATCATATCTAAATTACATGATGTAGGAGAACATTAATTAAATTTAGCAACGATGATTCACTGTGCGCTCTTAATATGAACATGTCGATACAAACTAGCATAAATGAAAAAAGGAAAACAAAGTTTTACCGCAAGCAGAACAATCGACTGAGAATATGCTGTAATTTTGCATTACATTGTACAAAATAAGCTACTATCAATAAACTCGAGTTTAAAAACTGGATGATTTTTTTTTTTTATATTCGCCATAATCAATATTGGTTTACCGATAGTACTATTCGTACATTTTCTGCTCATTATCCATAGATCTTCGCCCGTTCTGTACAGATGTGCACGATGGAATCCAAAATAATATTGATTCTTGTAAGTCGCCAGAAATGCCGTTAAGAACAGATAGTCAATTTGTTCAGTTCTCGTCTACGAGTAATTCCTCACTTTCTTTTCACATTTCAAGGTTGAGACGATACTTCTATATCGAAGGATAACATTTAATTTAGCTACCCAATTTTCAGTAAGCGAAAATAATATATTAGGAGTGCATGTTTAGGGTTATTGAAATTTATCGATTTGTAATCCGGAAATAATCTTATCTGATTTGTTCCTATGGTCACTTACACGTTTGTTGAAGCTGAATGGCATTTTTAACAAAGGACACGGAAAGAAGACAAAATGCTGGTAATATGTACAGCAAAATACAAGTACTACCGCACAATAAAAAAAATAGCAGGTAAAAGAAAAATGTTATAGCACTTGTATTCTTATTGCAAGAAAATCTAATACAACACAAGGTATCTACATTAACAATGCTCTTAGAATAAAGAGAAAACTGAATTTGCGTATTTACAATTTAATTATAAATAATGCGAATTCAAGCAAGATAATTTTTTAAATTTTTAAATTATTTACAAACAACTGGTGTTAAGTTGCTGTGTAACCACGGTTTGGAGGGTTTCATGGAATGGTAGATGCAATATGCGGTAGGAACGGGTTAAGAATTCAATTTACACACCTGAATTGTTCACGTTAATACATTAGCGTCCATTAAACGCCGAGGCGACTTACCTGGCAGAGGACGTCGAGGGTGACGGGGTAGACCATATGCTCGATGATGACGCGCAGCACCGTGTTGGGGCCGCCCTGCGTCTCGCTCTGGCCCGACAGCGCGCTGGCCGCCTGCAGCGCCGCCTGGGCCGACGCGTTCTGCAACACAACGGCGCCACGTCACACTCCGCTCCGCTCACCCATGCACACGCACAGCCATTCCTCCAGACACCCTGTTCGCCAAGTATGGCTCTCGTCCTCCCCCTAACATTTCCCCATTCAAGGAAAACTGAAAATCTGTCGTCACAGCTGCTTGGGTAAAGCCGTCCCGAAAGCCACTGGGTCCTGAATTACTTAAGAACGCAGGTTTCTCGCCTATTCTGAACGTATGTGCGCGTCATCCTGTGTCGGATAGTTTTGTAAAACCCGTAAAAGAGAAAATGCGGATAAACCTGATTCTCACATTTACAGTTCATTTATATTTTTTTCTTCTGTGGAGGCTGATGCATTTCCTACATTTTGATCGCAAGACGTCATGAAAGATGGCGCGTCTTCATTAGTGGAGTACAAATACCTAAATTGAAAGCCGTTGATGTAACTTCGGACTAACCAAACCTCCTGTGTTTGAATTTGCTGATTTCTCAGTTTCTCTTTATGTTTTTGCTTGAATATGTTATATGAACGTCGCTTCGCAAAACCCGCAAAATCTTCAAAAACATTACAGAAACATAAAAGTCTATTATCTGGACAGTCTTGCGGATTGCTTCACAGAATTTCTGCCGATTAAACGTAACGGCGAGACACTTTCATGGACACAGGCGACCGAGAAAAGATAAATTGCACAACGAGCACCACATAGCAGACGAGGTGCCGTGAGCAGTCCAAGGAAGCAAGGCAAAGTGCTGAGGCGAGGGGGATGAAGTTGCGGCGCCGACGCCTGTAATTCGTAGAAATATGCGCGTCCGCGCCGAGTTTAATGAGGCGCAGGTAACTTCGAGAACGTGTTGACTCGAACTTTTAGCCCTGCGCCGACTGCGGAGCCTGAGGGGAGGGCGAAGAAGGATTATTTGCTCAGAGCAGCGAGACCCAGTCGCGTATTACTGAAATTCATTTACTTAATTTGCGAGTGAGGGGGGGGGGGGAGAAGGGAAGAGGACGAGACTCGAGTAGTTTTCCGTGTCGGCGTCGTCGCCCGTCGCCACGGATGCCAGACGCGGACAGGCCGCGGCGACCTCTGGCCGCTGGCGTTTACGACCTTCCTACGCCCATCCCCTTGCCTCCGCTGCAGCTTCCGGTGGGACCTGCGCAGCGGCGCGGGCGAGGTATCGCGATGTACATCGGCTCCCTCAGCGTAAAATGATCTTATACTCTGCCAACTTCCTTCGCGCAGTATGCCTAACAGACAACCCTCTCCAAACCGTTCACAACCGCGTAATATCCACTTGGAAAAATGTACGTTTATTCCCGGAATTTCTCTTTTTAAGAGGATGGGCGAAATTAACGAAAGGAAGGTTGTGCACACACTCCTCTAACGTCCAGCTACCCGGTGCCTTCATGAATTCAATCGAATCAACACCGAGCGGTTTGTTCGGTCATTCCACGCCGCACGCTGACAACTTTTAGTTTCTGTGTGAGCATCCAGGAGCAACCTTCGTCTCCTTGCATTGTGAACGAACACCAGAACAAAATCCGAATGAACGCTTTCAGCAACGAGAATGCATGTTAAGATTCCGAACACCTGAATAGAAATGTAGTGCTGTAAAATTTTCAACGCAAGCCAAGTAACGATGGCTAGCTCGCAGATATCTTGTTAGTGATCTGGCAAGAGAGAAAGAGATACTGTTCCACCAAAACCCATTTTTGCGTCTCGCTACGAGCGTGCCATCGCCGAAATCATATCATAGACCCCCTACGGCCCTCCACAGGCCCTGCACAGGGCGAGGCGCAGCGGCTGCGCCCTTCGGCACGCGGGAGGGAAGGGCGCGTTGAGGAAATGGAAAGGAAATCACGGCGGCGCGCCGGCGCTATTTATGTTAATTAGCTCCGAGACGGCGCCACGCGCCACAGGCAGGCCAAGACGCGGGCGAGGAGGATCTTCCAACCAAAGAGATGCAATACACGGCTCTCTCCCCCTTACTCCTTTAGAACATCTTTGCACTCCAATGGGATTGCGAGAGATACATACTGCCAGTTAGATCTTCAACATTAATCAAACAATTAGATTGGAAGGAAGTGCGTTTGTGGCCACTGCTTACACAGGATTACATCACTATGGAGTTTTGGAATATGACACTCTGGTGTATCCGATGTCGATTTCCGCTAAACGCATCATCCCTACCAGAAACGCCAATAATATGGTGTGATTCAATAACTACTAGCACTCCAAATATGTTTGGTTCCGTTTAAGATGGGAAAAAGGTAATAGATAGGTGACGTAGGGGCGCATTCGAATACTTAATTTAGTCAATAACTATGTACTCGTGTTATACATTTTTGCTGAGAATGTTTTTACAGAACATTTCACATGGGTTTCAATATTTTTACTTCGTTGGAACGTTTTAAATTGCGACAAAATTCAAGAGCGTGCAGTGTTATGTGGACCTATATATTATTTTTCAAATTGCTAACCCGTGAAGAAAAGATCGGTGTGAACAAATCCACCCAGACGCAGAAGCCCTCACGTTGCCAAGGCCCGTTGTTCCTCCGAGGCGCGTGTATTATGGAGAGGCTGGCGAGGGCTGGCGGAGCCACCGCTGCCCAATTATTCACCGACCGCCCCCTCGACCCGACCGCCGCCGAGGGCTGCTCCTTGGGCCAAGGCCGCTCGCGCCGCCTTCCATGACCATTAGGTCAAAGAAAATTAGACAACCCGGACGCCTGGCTGTCCAGGAACTCCAATCTCGGAAGAAGAGTTGCCACCTTTCCGTCTACATTTTGCCGTTGACCTCCTGAACATTCATTCGGCTCCTGAACGACGCAGACGTCAGCCGTAAAGTTGGCAACACATCGGCATCCTCCGGGCAGCCGCAGAAATTGTCTACACCGTACATTCAATTCTCCTTCGTGAAACTAAACACGCGAGTTATTAGCGCATATTAAAACTAGTGTTCACGCCATACATTTCGATAAACATAATGAATTGCATTGCATGCACGTGCCTTCGGTCCTCACACCTTCGTAGCTCAACTGCACATCTATTTCTCTTGTGTGCTAATATTAATTAACTCCAGATGGGACATGGGAAGCGAGCGGGGCACCCATTTAATGGCCACTGCTAATAGCAATAAAAGCATTCCCATAAACTCATCCGTAAATTATAAGTGTGTAAAATTCGATTGTTAACTCTCGGAGAGTGCCATCGTCCCAATAGTCCGAGCTACGAGCGACCAGCCGGTTCAACGCCCGAGCGAGGGCAGCTGCCACAGGGATGGGGGTGGGGAGCCGTCATCAGAGCTGACGGCGGCGCGGCGCGACGTCTAACGCGGCACAGGGCTGAATATTTCCGCGCCGCCGCATATTTGATGGGACGCGAAAGCCGCGCGCTGTTCTGCAGAGGGCCGCCCCCGCCCCCGCTCGCTCCCCCCTCCCTCCACCTGCCGAGCGCGCACTTCGACCGGGAGGTCGAGCCCACCAGCAGTTCGGCGAGGACGATTCTTTCACAGGGAAGGCAACTCTTCAAACGCACGAAACACACGAACATTACGAGCAATACTTTTTACGTCAATTGCTGAAACTATGACTTTCCTATACTTGATATTTACGACATTTGATGCAATACAAACCGCAGTTTGATCAGCAAATACTATAAATACAATATAAAATTTACTATACATACAACATACAAAATTGTCTCCACTCACGTTTCTGGGACATCTGTTAAACGCCCGAAAGGTATACTCAAGACCATTGTCTTCAAACGGATGACCTTCACAAATCACCAATAAAATTTCCACGTCGAAGCAACACATTGAAGCAGATTTTCTGATTAACATTCTTGGGTGCTATCGAAAAGTTCGAATCTACCATACCTAACACGCAACAAAATATACATTTGATTTCCAAAACTCTACTGAAAAAGCAAAGGGAAGGAGCGATATTCCCATGTACTCCACTCTCTCGCTTGAGACTGATCTCGACGCTTATTCAATAGTCCGAGTGTTGTCTTCACGCCGCGGATAAATGTTCAGTTCGAGCTATCGCAAAATGTTATGCATATTAAGAACGTTAGATGGACATGTTGAAATCATTACCCTTTATTACTAAATTACCTTCTTTTACGTTTTTTACATCAGGTCCGCAACAATCGCCACTTAGCATAAATGCACACTAGTCTCCTACTATTAATACGTTTAACGGGTTACTTCTGTCAACATTCTTTTGAGGCAAGACTCGTAACGGAAACCGCCGAGTACCTGTAACCTAGAGCAAGGCGAGCACTTCCTCCCAGGTGGCTGCGGAGGGCCATTTTTCCGTGCGAGGCAGGGGAGAGGGAAGGGGAGGGAGAGGGGCGCGCTGAATAAGTGATCGCGGCGGGATCGAGCGCGCGCATAATTCGCGCTGCAACTTTAAAATTCAATCCGGCGCTGCCTCCGGCCGCGGCGCAGCCCTCCCACGCACAAAGCGACACGCGGCGGCTGGGGCTGCCAGCCTGCCATCCCGCCTTCTAAACATCTGCGTTGCCATTTTATTTACAACGTTTGGGGTGAGAGGGGGCAAAGGGGGCGGACCACTGAAGGTTAAAAAAGCAAACACCGAATGTAGATAGATTACAAGTAGCTTTTCCAGAACGCATTTTCTAGCCTGAGAATGAATTTGTCATATCGGGGCTGGCCATATCCAATGCTTGACGTCATTTTAAACTGATTAACAACGAAGAAACTACGCCAAATTTATGAGACGAAGGGGAACTGACGAAACCACCATAAAGAAAGAAAGAAAGAAAGAAAGAAAGAAAGAAAGAAAGAAGAAAAAAGATAGGTAATAAAATATGGGAATATAAATGGAAAGGAGAAGAATGGACATGGCGTCCAGAAAACTTGATGAAAAAGAGACTGTACAGTTCCTGTTATAGGGCGATTTTCGGAACTCCGCCCTTGACAGGAATCAGCTGTTGACAGCACACGCACGCGAATGCTCAGGCGCAGCAGGGACAAGAAGCG